TGTTCGTAAAGTCAAGTGTTCGTTAAGTCAAGTGTTCGTAAAGTCAAGTGTACTTGACCCCATGTATTCTCTATGTATTTTCTCTGCGGGGCTCCGCACGGAAGAACCCTTCGCGATGCTTTCGGGAAAAAGTAACGACAAACAACAACCAGATATGATAGATATGCACATGCACACACGTGTATACATCGACAAGGTAAAGTAGCAAAGTATAGTGCAACATGATATACAAACACACACACACGATACACTCAACATGTTGTCATTTCATACTGTACTGTGCTGTGTTTATGGCAGTGCATTAGGATTCTATTCTAGTCTACTCTGCTGTATTGGGTTATCTCATGTTATGCTACAGTATAGTCTGTCTACAGTATATTATAGTACAGTAGGTTGTGTCATAACATGTTTTTTGCTATTGCATGTTCGTTTGTAGGGCATCTTGCTATATTATTACGTTATATGAAGACATTATGCTATACCGTGGTGCACAGTACTATATTGCATCACGTTAGACATATTGCCTTATACTAGCTTACATTCTATGACATAAGTATATTAAAGTATACCCGAGTATGTTACATGATATTGCATGATACTGTTCTGTACTATCGCGCACTATTTTATATTATATTACACCATTTCATAATACTTTGTTTGTGTACTATACAATCCAGTATATAATCCTATACTACTCTCCGTCCTTTGATATCGTGTTGTATTGGATTGCATAATGCCACATCATGCTGTAAGCTCGTCTTTTTTGTGATATCATACTGCGGTGTTGTGTGCCAGGTCGTCGCTAAGTGCTTGAAATGGGTTTTGGGGGTTGGGCTGGTGCGCTTGCGTCTGGGGTCTTCTTCCGGCGCAGCAGTATGTTGTGGAATGGTAATCAGGAACAGAGGTGCTGACATCCATCAGCAAGATTCTCGAGAAAAACTCCACTTTCACGAGGCAGGCAAGGCCAAGCAGCATCATCAGTTTGGACCCTTCCCTGCTACTGGAAACGAGGTCCCCTCTACGTGTCTCAAACCCAAACCCCCATGCAGAAGTCTGATAGTTTCTGCGAACTGGGCCTGTCCACCGATGTGCGACACCGAGAACGTGGCGCCATCTGCAGCCAGCCGCCACTGCCCGATCTGCATAAAATCGTCACCTTCGACGCTCGGGTGTCGTATAGTTCCCAACACCAGATTCTGATGGGTTCAGATTCCGAATACACGGCCTTTCAAACAGGCACACAGCAGAGACAGCAAATAAACCAAAAAACAAGAAACAACAGACAAAGGTGTATATACTTGTATATACATATATATATATATACATCCATATGTAGAAACGTGTATATTTTTTACATATATATATATATATGTATGTATACACACATTATATCTGTATCTGGCAAGGGCTGGCCTGTGACAATGCCCGGGCAGGAGCCCATGTTAGCCTGCAAGCTGCCGCAGTGCCAGTGCGCATGGCGCGCGTTGACTGTAGGTCCGTACCTTTTGGCTGCGTTTTTTCGGACTTTCGGGGCTCAGGGCTTTGGATCCACCAAAAATGATGAACAGCACATGTAGCGTTAGGCCTTCAACATAAGATATCCGTATGGATGTATATCTATGCACACATATGCTCTAACAACATGTCCAACCAAATGCCAGGTGCACATGCTTGTTGATGGTGCCACACCAACCCCAATGTGCATGCAGGAAGAGCGAGGTTCCACCAGGGACGCCGGAGAGGTAGGTAGTGGCGAGATGAATTCCATCAGCGTCACCGATTCGGAATTTGCCGATCTGTATGAATCGATCGCCGAAGGTGACGCCTGAGGCAGGTCCGATGGGCCTTGACCACGCATTGTGCGCTGTCGAGGGGCCATTCGTGATGTGCCCCGTAGACGAGTAGGTCTTCGGCGTCTGGCCATCTTTATGCGAGATGCTGAGATGTGTGTCGTCGATCGCCGCCACGCGCCAGTTTCCCATCTGTATGAACTGATGTCCGAAGGCGATGCCCGAGGGATACCCGAGAGGCCTGTTCCAGGTGTGAAAGGCGGAGGGGGGGAAGTTTGAAAATACCGCGCCGTCCGACCTCAAGATCTCGGGAGTCTTCCCGTCCTTGTGAGCGATCGTAAAATGCTTGTCGTCGAAGATCCCCATGCGCCAGTTGCCTAACTGGATGAACCGATCTCCAAAAGCCGCAAATTCGGGATCACAAGGTCCAAATGCGGTTACCTGAGAAGAGCAGATCGACATCGGCAGGATCCCTGAACACAAGACCGCAATTGAGTCGAGGCTTCGTGCATCGGAGCTTTCACATTCTCACACTGTCTCCACGAAAGGGGTTGAACTCTAGACCGTGCTGGGGAAAACTGCGGGCTTGGAGAGTCGTTGCAAAATGTGATTTTGTTGCACGGTCTGACATCTCCGTGAACCCCTTGACTGATGCAGAAAGGGTTTGTCTCTGCGCGAGAAGGTCGCTGGGCCCGCAAAGTTGAGGTTCTGGAGTACCCTTCTGAAACGAGGACTTCTCTTGGAGACCAGGGTGAGCACTGAGAGCACGCAACATGGACAGCCCATCAACCCCTACTGCGTGAACAGAGCGAAAGGACGTGAAGAGGACTGTGAGGATCCCGCAAGCGACCGTTACTGTCAGACACCCCGCCCCATCTGAATCCGAAAAAGACTTCCAGAAGGATTTCTCCGACTAGGATGGTCCAAGGCTCTCCGATGTCCTTGACAGTGTAGTGTGCTGGTGCACGATTGACATTGGAGAACGCGGTGTAAACTCCGGTGTTCGGATGCGTCTTTCCGTCCCTGCTGTCAAAGACTTGGATAATCTTCTTCGTCTTGACCTTGAGTGACCGCAGGGCAAAAAACACGCCCAAACTCGAGACACTCGCTCGACCAGAAGAAAAAACTTGCAAGGCTGAGCCACGCTGGAGAGGACGAAGCGAACGCCGTCTTCGTCTGCAAGCCGAAAGTCACCCAGCTGGAGGAATCTGCGGAGCAACGCGGCGTTGGGGAGCTGGGGTGGTTGGGGTTGAAGAACCCAACGGGGGGGGGGGGTATGCAGAGCCGTGCAGAGGTCGCAGACTTTTACAACCTGCACAGCCAAGCTGGCACGCGTCTCCTAAACCAGGGACCCCGCTGCACGACTCTGGATAGAAAATCCCTCTTTCCAGGGCCTGTCGCCATAGCTGATGCCCATAGGCGCTCCAACAGGACGATCCCAGGTTCCGAAATCCTCGGAGGGCTTTTGGGAAGTCGAAGCTCTGGTAGCGTACAGCGTGCCCACCGAAAACCTCACCAACGCCTGACACCATCCCGAGGTTTTCACGGTGCTCTGCCCTATCTCACCGACCTAATCTGATCCCCGGTCGCAACATTTGCGCCCTTCCGCGTTTTTTTTGGGAGCTTGGTTGCTTGATAGGGGCCTTGGCTCCGCCACAACATACGAGGCCATCATCTCTGAAGATCTCGTTGGTGTTGCCATTGCTGTGCCTTGGTACGAGAAAACCAGCAAGAAGGGAGGCGCCGCATGCAGTCGGAAAATGGACTCACTGGGGTCCTTGCTGCGCAACTGTCTTGGCTGAAACATCGGAGACCCTGCCCCGCCCTCAAAAGTCCTGAAAGGTTTCGGGAACACAGCGCTGAACCAAAGCCACAAGACGAGCGAGCGGGCTCCTGCTTCCCTTTTGGTGCCGGGGAGGGCACGAGACGGAGAAGTGAGTATCGTCGGCAGCACCAAGCCGGAATTTTCCAATCTGGATGAACTCGAAGCCGAAGTGGATCCCGACAGAATGACCGCTGGCCGTCAGCGGCCGCAGGTTGCCGTGTCTGAGGGCTGCATGGGGTGGTTGTTACAAGTCAGGATTGGGGCCCAGTGGTCAACACATCATGACCCAACATTGCAATACACTATAATGTACTACAGTGTACTACTATAGTCTACAACCAATGTACTATATAACTCATGTACATTGCAGCTCAGGGACACGTCGCGCCAGGCCTGAAAATCGGCTCTCGGGCCATAGTGGGTCGTGCCGTCGGCGCGCCAGATCTGAATTGTCTCGCACTTAGCCTGGCATCCGAAAACTCGAAGGCTCGGCCCTCAAGCTTAAGCTCCCACAAAACCCGGAGCAGTTCGCGCTTAGGGAGGACGTCAGGACGTCCGCAATGTCGGCTGCCGTATCTGGCGGCTTGAGATACTTACTAGTAGCATGTCCTTAAACTTCGTGTCGAGGTGCTACTCCCCAAATCCCCCGACCAGCCCGGCCTGCGAATGACTGGGCGGGCCTGTGATGCCCTTCCAGCCGTCATCAGGATGGCTGAGCGCCTCACCTAGGACCGGCAACTGGAAAACACATCATCGATGTCAGGCTGCGCGACCCATGATGATGATGATGATGATGATGATGATGATGATGTACTGTAATGAGGGGCGTAACACACGAAGCCATTACCCTGTATGCTGGCATTGAGGCGAAACTCCTGCAGACTCTTGGCCTGGATAGCCAGTCGGTGAGGGTTTCGGATTTTAGATTTCTCAGGGTGGATCAGAAGTGTTTTGAAAGTCCTAGTGACAGCCTTGAAACAAGGACCACTGTACTACTGTCAACGCATGCGAGCTTGAGCCAAACACATGATGTGGTGCAAAGGACAAACTCGAAATGCACTGGAAGGAGAGCATGCGCTAGAAGGTGCTCTGCGACCAAGCACTGCTGGACAGAACAAGACGAGCACAGATCATGCACGGCACGGATGGCCTGCCATGACCTTTCCTGCAAACTGGAAATAGACACCATCGAAGACTGAGCCCCGTCGAAACTTCAGATCTGAAGGCATTTTTGGGATCGTAAATGAAAGGCCAGGTCGCTGCTCTGCAAGCGGCAGTTACCACTCCTGAGAGGTGACGTCGGCTCTTAGGGGACCTCCCTCACTTATTTCGCCAAAGATTGCACATCTTGGGCCCCGGGTTCCGGACTGGCTATCTTGTTTTTGTTTGCCCCTCTCTCGCAGTCGTCCTTCATCATGAACCCCGCAGCCCGACTCGCAGCAAAGCAAGGCTGCAAGGGCAAGGGCCGAGCACCCGGGGCCGGAGTCTGCCTACCGCAGCCCGAGGTCACTTCACCTTCCCCTTCCATCCACCTCCCACAGAACCGAACCCAGGTGGAGATGCGCTTCGGGACAAGATTGGCCGAGACTGTGGCGTGGAGCCTCCTCCCTAAGATTGAAATGGTAGTGCCTGCTGGCCTTGATGGCCAGCGTGTGAAAAGCAATAACACCTGCTCATGGGTAGTTTTCTAAATTAGGGTCCCTTTTAGGGTCCTTTTTGTAAGGGTGCCGTACCATAATGGGGACCTAAAGAGGGACCCTAATTTAGAGAACTACCCTCATACAGATTGGATGTGTCATGGCAGCAAACTTCGGAGGAACCAACATCAGGCGCGCTAGCTCTCGCAGGTCACGCACAGGGAAGCTCATTGTCAACTACGTAGAACGTCAGGAGCAACCTGCACGCACTGAGGATTCTCTTGCAATCCTTGTCAGTCTTGCGACTCGCACGTTCGATACACTTTTGAAGAGTTGAGCATGTGCAACTACGACCTTCCAGTCGATCTCAATAGCGGGAGCTTTTTCTGTTGCGTGATGCTAACGTAGAGGTAGTGTTGGATCAAGCTGTCAACTTGGCATCCCGGAACCGAGAAGAGTGTGACTACACTGAATATGTGGATTACTGTTACGATCTCGAGAACCTGAATCAGAGTCTTCAGCGCATCTACCCCTGCAATCGTGATTTCCACACCCGTAGAAATAAGCCCAACACCTTGGACACATTGCGGACAACACGCTCCGCCAAACTGCATCCGAGAATCGGCCAGAAAGTGAAATGCGCGCAGCCCGAGACACTTCTGCATCCTCAGGTGCATCTCAGAAGGGTGGCGGGAGGGGGCGGGGAGTCAAGACAGTCACAAAAGGGTGTTGGGAGCATACATAGTCGCAAGGAATGGGGAACTCCAAGGACTCAGATGTACTAAATACGCCGACCCCCTAAACCCTAAACCCTCTATGTTGGGATTCTTCAGGCTTTTAGGCTTCGAACCTTCGCTTCGACCCAGGGGCGACGAATCCAGTAATATGGGACCTGTAAGAATCAGAGTAGGATTCACGGGTTCTGTACGGAATCAGAATAGCATACTCTAGTGTGAGTGCAGTTATCTCAGGACTATGAGGGAACAGTATATCAAGCTCCTGGTTTTTTGCTTCCCAACCAATTTATGCCCTAAGCTCTTAACCCTTTCCATTCTGGTTCTCCCGATCTGCGATTTCCCGCTGAAGGACTGTTGTTGCCTGGATGCTTCTGTGTTGTGCGGCCGGAGCATATCGTATTGCTCCTAGAAGGTGCGACAGCTTCTTTTATTCGTATCGGGCCGTGGAGGCCCTGTGAACTGATTTCCCAACATCCGTGCTCCCACATGTGGGTAGCTTTCTACATTAGGATTTGTTTTAATGTAACGGTGCCGTACTACTTTAGGACCCTAATTTAGCAAACTACCCATATGATCCCATATGTGTAAACGTCGTCCCGAAGAGCAGGGGTCGACCCAACGAGTTCAACAGCTAGATCACAAAAAGACACACTTCTCCGACAAGACTTTCAATTCTCATGATCACACAATCTACCATCATGCTAGAATACAGTGAGAATATGCTACCCTACAACCTCTGAAATGGTTCAGCACAAATATCTGGATGTGGGATGTTAGTGTGATTAGCGGAACAGTCTTGGAGAGCATTCCGCAGGCATGCTGTTTTACAAGTTTTAGAGCAAGTTTCGAGGTTCTCGTGCTTGCACGAGAACCTCGAAACTTGTTCTTAAACTTTTAAAACAGCATGCCTGCGGAATACTGAAACTAGATCCAGGCTTCTCCTCTGACATGCCACCCAGTCAGGTTCGACTGTCACGCCTCCGCGCAGCTTCTCTTCTGTGCAGGGCCCGTGCATGGAGTCGTTACGTTACGTTGTGGGTTTGGGTTCAAGAGTTCAAGACAAAATATCTCACACAGTGAGCGGATGCTCGCCCCCTCGGCCCCAGAAATACAGGCTGAGCCGCTTCCTAGCAGAGGGATCGCAAATCTTGCGTGAGCTGCTATGGGGTGCAGGGTGCGGACTGGGCTTGAGTTTGTCCTTTGATGATTTCGGCTGTCAGGACAATGAACGAGCTCAGGTACCAAAACAACCCGCGCAGTAACAGGAGGTGCATGACCTTAGGTGTGGGCGTGTGGTGCCTGAAGTGCCGAAGCCAGCAAACTCCAGAACTCGGAACTCGGAACTTCAGTGTCTTCAGGGCCATTCAGACAAGGCTCCTAGCTCACAAAGTCCCAACACCATGCAAGAGACTCCTGAATGCCCAAAGCTATCGTCTCGGCCCTGCACCAGCGCCTGTTCCCGCCATCTGCCAGGGTTTGTACTGTGTGTTGGCCACGTTGCCGGCCTGTCCGAAGGTGCACATTGCTGACAAGCAACTGTCGAAACTATGGTACTGCGAGGGCTTGGGGTATCGGATGCTGTTTTCAAACTGGAGGTCGGGTCTTGAGCTTCTTCCCGGAAATCTCTCCCTCTCAACAGAAACTGAGGCCCTGTCGCAATGGGAAATCGAGAAGTGGGTGTCGTCTATGGCTCCCAGGCGGAAGTTGCCTAACTCGATGAAGTTTTCGCCCAGTCCTGCAGCAACGTTTTTGGTCCGATTCCTGGAGATCTTACACTGAGGTAAGTCACAGTATAGACTCTAGAAGCCCCAAAGCATAAAACCCGAAGCCGGATGCAGCTTTTGAAGTCGAACCCCGGGTCCGAGCTCATGGATCAACTGCCTCTTGTCGATAAACTGCTTCACGCTCGGCACTGCTTCTTTCTTGGGCAGAATCTGAGTCGAAGGGAATGCTTTAGGAGTGGGCTTCATCTCATCTTGGAGCTGCATACAACAGAACAGCAAACAAAAACTGCACTAAGTTGAGCCAGAAACTCTCGTAACCTCAGCGTCGGATGAAGGCAGCCTGCCTACATGCTTGCATCCAAGCTCTCGCGCGCACGGAGAAGTAGAAAAGCCAGGTGTCCTTCTCTTACTCTTCCGCAGACTGAAGCGAACTAGCACCCTCATGAAGGGGCGTCATGGGTTTGGGGGTCTTCAAAAGAACTGCTCGGCCGACGAGGATCGTGTATGCTTCCACGCAGAAGACTTTCTCCACGGCCAGCGCGACGGGCTTGCCGCTGAAGTCGAGATTCCTCGTCGAGTCGTAGAGGGCTGAGTAGCCGGGATTTCAATCACCCCGCGATTGCCTGCCCGAGCTCACAACAGAAAACCATCTGCAAGAGACCCACTTATGGATCAAATTCAACACAGCGCTTCATCTGTCAGCGGAAGTCACAGTCAGACTCTGTCACAGCCCTTTGTCCCGCGAGGCCGCGAAACCCGAAAGCAAGCATGTATGGCTGCTTTCGCACTGGGATCGACAGATAAGACCCCAGGATCTCTCAATAGTCTTCACAAGCCCAACCCAATCGAAGGCAGGCTGTTCGAGTCTACAAAGACCGAGCGTCAGGTCCGGGATTATGGAGGTGACTGCGTCGGCGGCTGTTTCGGCTGCTTTCTTCAGGCCCGCCGTGGCAACACTGCTGACTTGCTTGAGACCCGGGACGCAACCCAGGCCAGCGTTCAAGACCTTCGCCAATGCTCAGCTCGGTTCATTCTGACTTTCAGGGTTCCGGGCATATGGGTGGTTGTCAAAATTATGGTCCCGTTTTTGGGGTCCTTATTATAATACGGCACCTATTATTTAGGGTACCCCAAAAGGGACCCTAATTTTGACAACTACCCATATGGTTACAGAAACAGGCATCGACCACAAGACTTCGCAGACAGGAATGCGGAGCCTCTAGCGCCATCAGTGCGCCTTTCGTGAAAGAGCTCATGAGTTCCTTGATGATGTCCTGGGGGGTGAAACCTCGGCTGCACGCAACTAGGCCCTGAGTCTAACAAGCAGAAGCACGTGAAAATCCCCTTGGCTTCTGGACTCGGATCCGGTCGGGGGATAGATGTGCCACAATACTTTAATACTGCAGATGGTAGCAGCTCGAAACCTCAATAGTTCGACGTCCAAGCAACTGAAGTCGAAATCCACCGGTAGTGATGCCGGTGTCGATGTAGATATTCAGCGCCTGTTTGCTGATTATGCAGCTCGGAACGTAAGGATTCGAGCTCCAACTCGGACAGGCCAGGCGGAATGAGGTCTGAGAAGCAGGCCCAGCTTGATTAAACCGCCGGCCATAAAGGATGAGCAACCAACAACATCCACTGAACTGTCATATAAGGGCCTTGATGGCTAGGGTGAGGTTTTGGGGCATTTCGTACCAACTATTAAACCGAAATCCACTCACTCCGACCTCTATAACATGGGCTGCCACTTTGTCAAGATGCCATAAGCTGCTCTAAGAGACGCCGCGGAAGTTAATATGGGTGCCATAATCCAACTAGGTTTGTGGGATATATGCTACGACAATGGCAATACTAAGGCTGTGTCTAATTCGTAGCAGTATTCGGCAGACTCCTAGGTGCTAGCCAACATTCGCGTCACCAACATCGGACGGCTAAGAGACTCCCCAAAAGCCTTTAAGTGGATAGCTGACAAGGTCGTGGTAAGGGACTCCAAATCCTAAGTGTGATCGAAACACAAGGGAGACCCGTGATACTGAGTTGATGACTGCAGCAGCGCAGAGCTTCAGCGGCTCTTCGCCGCCCTTGGACGACACCGCGTCCTTTCGACGATTCGGAAATTTCAGCAAAAAGGCCACGTAAGCGGTTGATGCTGACAGTTCTTGGCTGTCTAAGCTGCGGCTTGATGCGGCCTCACGAAACCAGCTTGGGCAACAGTAGAATCACAGTCAATGCGTGCTGCATGGCTACCCGCGCATACCAAAAGGCAAGAAGCGTTGACACGGAAAGTGCCACTATCTGTGGCAAGCAGCCTGCAGGTGGCTAACGTCCAAAGCCCCAAGATCTGCAAAGTAAGCCACTATCTCTCGATTGCAAACCGGCTCAACTCACACATCCTGGTATTTCTCAGTCTCTGCCACCAAGCTGATGTTTGATGGAGGCGAAGCTTCAGGCTCCTCGCGAAGCGCGGGTTTCGGGTTTCGAGCTGTTTCTGTGGTTTGGCCGGTGTCCAGTATAAGACCCGATCCCCTTCCTGACAGTACTTTTGCAGTGAACTGGCTCACTCAAACGAGACGGAAGAGACAATGGTTTGCGTGGGAGCAACAAGCGCTGGACATTTCACAGCAACCAAAGTGTTGTTCCAGTCTTGTTGAGTACGTGCTTCAAGCATGGCAACAGACGGATGTTGCTCAAATCAAAAACACTTCTGTACCTGCTTGTGCTGTTAAGAAGGAGTTTCCAGTAAACTCCAGTTTCTTCTGACTATGAAAGTTTCGCTTGAAAATAATCAACATGTTGCCAATTGCTGATGCGGAGGAGCATCACCTTAGTCACGCTGCCAGACCGGACCGGGGTGAAGAACTACCGTGTTACGTCTTCTGTCAAACCCCAATTGATATCATTAAGACCCTGACAAGCTTCTTCGCAGATGCCCCAAAGCACGCAAGCTTGAGTCTGACATGCTTCCAGCATGCTCAACCAAGCAGAAGCAACACTTAGCGGCAAAGTGTAAAGCGATTGCAATGACCGACCGAAACCCGACAGTCGTAGTAGTAGTAGTAGTAGTAGTAGTAGTAGTAGTACTAGTACTAGTAGTACTAGTAGTACTAGTAGTACTAGTAGTACTAGTAGTACTAGTAGTACTAGTAGTACTAGTAGTACCAGTAGTGGT